TATTTTTAGTAGAGACGGGGTTTCACCATGTTGACCAGGATGGTCTCGATCTCTTGACCTCATGATCCACCCGCCTCGGCCTCCCAAAGTGCTGGGATTACAGGCGGCAGCCACCACGCCTGGCCCGTTATCACTTTTTAAAAAATACTAGCATATTCCACTAAGTTGATTTCATGACCAACTGAGATAATAAAAGCCTTCTTAACAGTTTTACCCATGTGGGTTTTTGTTTTTTTGTCTTTTGAGATGGAATCTGGCTCTGTCGCCCAGGCTAGAGAGTCACTGCAGCCTCTGCCTCCCAGGTTCAAACAATTCTCCTGCCTCAGCCTCCTGAGTAGCTGGGATCACAGGGATGTGCCACCACAACCAGCTAGGGTGTGTGTGTGTGTGTGCGCGTATGTGTGTTTAGTAGAGACGGGGTTTCACCATGTTGGCCAGGCTGGTCTCGAACTCCTGACCTCAAGTGATCTCACCTTGGCCTCCCAAAGTGCTAGGATTATAGGTGTAAGCCACTGCACTCGGCCTTACCCATGTGTTTTTGCTTGGAGTTTTTAGTACTCTAAAAGCAGACATAATTCATAATGTGGGCCCATGTTTATAAAAACTTTTTGGTCGGGTGTGGTGGCTCATGCCTGTAATCCCAGCACTTAGGGAGGTGGAGGTGGGCAGATCACCTGAGGTTGGGAGTTCAAGACCAGCCTGACCAACACAGAGAACTCCCGTCTCTACTAAAAAATACAAATATTAGCTGGGCATGGTGGCGAGCACCTGTAATCCCAGCTACTCGGGAGGCTGAGGCAGGGGAATCGCTGGAACCTAGGAGGTGGAGGTAGTGGTCAGCTGAGATCGTGCCATTGCACTCCAGTGTGGGTGACTACAGCAAAACTCTATCTCAAAAAAAAAAATTTTAATGAAATTCTGGAAGCCACAAAAAAGCCATAAGGAACAGTGTTACCCAGGTTCCTACTGCCCAACCTGCATGCCCATTTCTTCCCCCATCCTGAATGTGCTATTTTGCATTCTTATGCTTTTTAAATATTTACAGGGTATATGCAGATATTTCTAAAAATATATTGTTCAGTTCTGAAATTTTTTTTTTTTTTTTTTT